GATTTAAAGCAGAGATCTATGTTTCAGCTTTTTATCAGCTTTGCTAAAAAGCAATGAAAACAAACTTTTTCATCAACCAGCAAGCGTTACATCTCCTCATGTGGACAGTTTGAATTTGCTGAGCAATTTGACTCTAGTTCTCCATTCATTGACAAAGGGATTCAATTGGTTAACTTTGAACAATCTGTCCATGATTAGTTTTTTTCGGTGGAGAAAGGGTTTATTGTCTAATTTTACTTTGTGATGAAGAAGCAAATCGCGTGGCTTCTTATATAGATGAATATATCTTTAGGGTTAAGGAATAATATTTTGGCAAATAAATTAGTTATAGAAACGTAATATGTAGAATAATTGATAAGAGTAAATTTYTTTAAATAAAAAATTTAGAGAAGATCATAACAATTAAGAAATAAGGAAAGATTCATTAAAGTTTAATGATTTTTGCAACGAKATTTACTTTTCTTTAAATTTTTTTGAATTTTCATTAAAGGTTAATGATTTAAATTAGATTGATAAGAGTAAATTTTTCTAAATAAAAGATTTAGAGAAGATCATAACAATTAAGAAATAAGGAAAGATTCATTAAAGTTTAATGATTTTTGCAACGASATTTACTTTTCTTTAAATTTTTTTGAATTTTCATTAAAGGTTAATGATTTAAATTAGATTGATAARARTAAATTTTTCTAAATAAAAKATTTAGAGAAGATCATAAYAATTAAGAAATAAGGAAAGATTCMTTAAAGTTTAMTGATTTTTGCAACGACATTTACTTTTCTATAAAGTTTTTACAATTTTCATTAAAGGTTAATGATTTAAATATATGATTTGATTTAGATTGATAAGAGTAAATTTCYCTAAATAAAAGATTAAGGAATTACCTTAGATGAGATCATCTGGGCAGAGGAGAAGATGCGATCCATCTGCATCAACCTCATTGATCATGTCTTGTAGCTCTGCCTCAGTTGRGTTCTGCCCTAGAGAACGCAYAAYTGTTCCCAGCTCTTTGGTTGTGATGCAACCTTTGCAACCACAATTGAGATAGAATCACATTTTAGAACCCATGACAGATACACAAAGGATGTAGCAGTTGGAAMCCGTSAYAAACACACAGAGAAAAGCAATGAAAGATACAAAAGCACATGAATTTCTTTTGGTTATCTCTCAAAGAATATATGAGAGAACAAATCTACAAAAGAATTGCCACTTTAAGCTTCAAGAAGTGTAGATCTCTGATGATAGAGGGTGCAAGACACACCATGACATAATTATACATAAGTTTCAAGATTCTTTAGATGGAGAGTTGATAATAACACAATAAAACTCACATTATATCGAATTCGCCAAAAAAAGATACAAATTCTTCATCGTTTTGAAGATTATACACAAATTCAAGAGCTATCTTTGAAAGCAAACAGGGAAGATTCATCTCTCTGTCTCTATTGCTCACGGTTAGACAAATCAAAACTTCAGAGACAGAAAAACGATTCAAAAACCAAAATGTGTGAGACGAAAAAAAAAAACCCAAATCCAAGCTAACAAATCTGCAAATCAGAGCACGAGAGAAGCGATTCATAAACGAAAAGCAAACAAACTGAAGATCTCAAAGCGAAAGAAAAAATCCAACAAAGCAACTCGGTCAAAGACCCAAACAAAAGCAAATCACAAGGTAGAAATAGGTCGATAACACGGAATCTAAAGCGATYATYGACTCACTGTTCAACCATGTATAARTCATCATCAATCGAAGAAGAAAAATGGAAAAGCGAGATCCAACAATGATGTTAAGTACTACCGATTAGAGAAATT